TTGGGTGGAGTTCAATCATTGACATTTGGGCAGATGCGATAGTGGCCCATGCTGCTTCACAAACACAGTCATTTGGATGGAAATGAAATCGGAAACCACTAAACTAACGTTCATTAAGTTCCAGAAGAGTTCGATTAGTAGGCGTGATTGTTTATATCGAAGATTCAGCTCGAGAAAACTAACAACATACTGATCCGTTGTAAACACACCCACTCAGAGTTTCCCTGTGAGTTTTCTCGAAGCTGTGTAAATTTGCATGGACCCCTATATTTATCCTCGGTACGCGGGAACATAGTTCATATGTGTACAGAGAAATAATTCAGCTTATCCCCTGATTATCTACGAGGGAAATTATCTGAATATAAAAACGACCAGATTTGCGGAAAATCCAAAAACTAGCACGAAAATCTAAGCATACGATTGTACGTTAAAATGTGTTTTATAGGACAGAAAGCTATAAAATCATTAAGGTTTTTCTCAATGCCCCATTACTCTCCGACTACCGATGTTATACCGTTGAGCATGCAACCAATTTAATTAGATTAGAATGCAAGTGTGGGTGTGCCTGCATGGAAGGGGAGTCCATTGGGTCACCAGCAGGGCTGAAATACAGTACGAGTGTTTTTTGAAGGGGAGGGGGTCGGTAATTAAGTTGGGTTAATGGATATTTGCAATTCGATAGGGGCACTTACTGTACTCGCCTTAGACCGATCGAGCTAGTCGCATCATTCGGATGTAGCAGACCACTGGAGGGTGATGTGGAATTATTATTCATGGAGTCGGATTCACTGGAACGGTAAACCACTGTGACTTTCCCTGAGGGATTGTTCGGCGAATCGACCAAACACAATGAACGATCGGCTCTGTGGCGACGAGAGAGAAATTGTAATTGCGGGAAGGGGACAGGTGTGCAGACAAGGGTGAATTGAATATTATTGGGAAAATCAATATTGTCGTAGTGACATTTTCACACCGAAATGGGATGAACAGTTAATTACTGTAATGTTATAGAAGCAAAAAAAACTAAGCCATGGGGTTTGAATAGGGGAACCGAATAAAGTTCAAGGGGAACAGTTTGCATAAGGGGTTGAAAGGTTAGAAAATAGTATCGCTTTGTTAGCGGAAGAATGCACAAAAAAGGCTGTAGACGGGGTCAGATTCAACAAACTACCCAAATGAGTGAATATAGATAAGCATGGAAATTTCGGTGAATCATTTATTCACTGATCCGCCAACGTGTATTCAGTCCAGTTTGGCGATTTAACCTTCAGATCAGACCGAAAACTGGCTTCTACAGGCCACCTGATCAGTATGCATGCTGCTAGTGGTAGTGGGCAGAAACGACGGGGAAGATCGTTCCTAGATCGAGAACTCCCAAGTTTAGTATTATATAATCGAATTATCGTTGATTCGCCATACGTAATACGGTACGATGCAGAAGTTCTCCGACAGACAATGAAAAAATCACGGTGTATGTGTCCTATGCAAAAGAAGTGAGCGATTTTCAACGTCCAGAATTAATTCGCTGGACGTTCACGACCCACCCCCATCAGGCCACAGCTCGAATCCGGCCGTAAATATTCAGCTTTGGTGTATGCAGCTTCACTGGAGTTGATCCCAGAGTCATAAATGAACGACAGGTCCTCGCGGTCAGGTAGTTCACTCTTCCAACCACTCGTCATACGAACGCGTGCAATTAAAGAAAAAAACAGACACTGTGCATAGAACCAAATCGGCTCACACATTTAAGGCTTCAAGAACAGAAGAAAGCAGTAGATTCCAGACATAAAAAGCGGTCAATTTTATCCTTCTTGTGAGGATTCATGACGGATATTGCTTGAGAACATTAAGAAACAGGATGTGAATAATATGGAAGGCGAAAGCATTCAGTATAGACTCACTCGCTAGTAGACAGGCGAAACGCTGGCCGTTCTGCGTGGAAATGAACCAGAATAAGACAGATTGGACTCTCACGTGAATGATGAGAATAAACATGTGCATTTTCAAAGTTCCAACACAACATACTTTTTACTGCTACAATCTAGGTTGTTTAGCATTCGATGAATAATTGCGAACGCTCATCAGAGACAATCCATAAAATTTTGGTTTTTTGAAACACATCCAAAATAAGCAATCCAAGAACAAGTAGAAAGTACTGATTGCGGAGATTTACAGACGGAAAGGCGTAATTCCTGGGAACAATATTTCACATAAGCTTGAAACGAGAGGCTTTATTTTTCCGTAGGTTATTATTTATGCCTTAACAATTAATACGAATATAAGACCATTCGTTGCATCTCCCCCTAATTCATCCCTATCGTTCACATGAAGAACGTTGAAGCATATGAACACATGACACAAAATGGACAACAAGTCGTAGTGTGCACCTCAATCCGCATACTAGTGAATGTAAAAGTCCATAGTCACATTTGAATGATTTCGGCGTTTGGACGATTAGAGAATGGGCCATTTTCATTAATTCCATTGACAACAACCCGTCTGCTTTAGATTAACGGAAAACTAACGCACGGTTTTGAAATAGATGCTTGCCGACCGTTCGGCAGGCTGGATTCAGTTTATTCGATGTGGCAAATGATTGCCTCCTGAGTGGTAAACCGCAGAAAATATTCCAATGATCAAGTGCAATTGTAACTACCTCTATGTCAGTTCTATAACAGGCTATGTCAAGCTCTATTGCAATTCCACCGTTATTTCAAACCTAGCCTCAGGCACCAGTGTTGAAAAATGATTCGATTCGCCTAATCACCGCAGAAAACCTAGCCACTTAGTAGGGGATAAAAATGAAATTAAAAACCAGGTTTGTTACCAACCCAGACGCGAATTCGGTCCAGAAAAGCAAATTGATGTAATCAGTACAATCCTTAAATTGGGCGGTGGGGACAAATGTGTGTTGATACAATTAACCAACATTGTGGCATATATGGGAAGACTGGTCTATTTTTCTGAGGAGAAAGCCACTCAAACTGGACTGCGAAATTTGCCTACGACACAATATGATGCGGAGCTGTTCCATCATCGCACTGCAGGTAAATGGTTTACTAGTAAGCACTCCAGGGCTCACTCACTCAGATCGTGGTCTTTACGTCGACCAAGGAATAGGATTTTTCGTAATTGTGGAGTTGATTCCCTTCAGTGTCCATCTCACTGAGGTGGGTAATGAAAATCCTCGACTGCGCTACTGCGAGAACTGATAGTACGAACAATCAACTCAACGAGAAAGTAAAACTATTTTGGTCGGTGTACTAAAATACATCAAAATGTGATATTCAGTTATTCGTCCAGATATTCTATCGTCCCATTATCGTATCTGCATAAACCTGAGGTAAAATCTAACCAGTTACAGCAAAAATGATTGAATTTTTATTTTGGAAGATGTGTATTAAAAACCGTTGGGTTTATTACGATTGAAGACTTCATGCCTATCTGCAATATATTCAACCTACGGTTATCAGTGCACGGTTCAGGAACAGCAGCAAGGACCAGCTAGGAAATTCTCCTCCACTGAGGAGACAGTTCAAGGGAAACGTACGATTGCCGATGAGGAAGGGTTATTGAATGACATTGGTCTTTCACAATGTATCTGCTTCACGTATTCATATTTCGACCGCCAGTTAAATCCGAATTTCAGGATAGTCTAAGGTAAAGAGCACTTGTATAAGCTCATCACGGAACAATCAGTGCTCAGCGAAAGTTCGTATTTATTCCAGCGAATTATGTACCGATCTAGCTTTTTAGCTTGCCACCGACATTACCAGGTGTGTGGTTCTGAGCGAAGAAAAAGACGTACGTTGCGAGAGAGATAGAAGCATTTCATTTGCTTTCCTCGATCGAAAATGTGGTGCTCGTAAAGGAGGAATGAAATGCTAACAGCGTGAGCTCATTGATTCTGTTGCACAATCAAAAGGCGTGCACTTAATCTTTCCAATCATCATGTTTGAGAGAAGGGACGCAAGCAATATGAGTCAGAATGTCCTCTCATATATATATATATATATATATATATATATATATCCATGTATAAAATTTTAAAAAAACGGAATGGCAAGTAACTTGGGTGATCAAATTTTGATGTGTTTCAATCAGGTAGAATTGTTTTCACAGGATTCGTTTCTGTCTCATCGAACAACGGGTTACAGCATAAAATTCATTTAGTAATAATAATAGTTATGACTACGAGCAAGTAACTGTTATCCGTACGGGGAGCGGTTTTTCTATGGGAGTCTGTGCGTGTGTGCGTGCACGATCAGTTACCTGTGGGATTAGTCATTACTGGGGTCGAATAGACTGGTTCAATGAAGGCAGGTGTGGGCTTTGTCCCATTGACCGTCAATACGGGATGAGGTAGGGCTGAATCCAGCGGAAACAAAGTGTCACAATTGTCAATCATCAGCTCGACTGCGGTAGATGAGAATTTCGTGTTCATGATCGCGGCCACACTCTCTTCACGTGACCGCATTAGGGATGGGGCGAAGACAATTGCCAAATTACTGCTGGTCATATTGTTCCGGGCACTGTGGGAAGCCACTCTGGAACACAAATTCAAAAGTGCAGAATAAACCTTCATGTATAGACAGAGGTTTATGGGAAACACGAAGTATAAAGAAATATTATGACCAGCTTCCGTAGAAGTCAGGTAGAATGAGAAATAAAACGTGCGAGAGAGAAAGAGATTTGGAGGACAAAATGGAACGCGATAAGTCATAATAAATCGAAGGATCGTCAAAATTCTGTTGGACAGTTATCACCAAATTGATAAAAGTAGTCTTAGTGGAACAATGCATGAAGAAAGAACGGGCCAAGCAGGAAGTATTGAATCATTTTATACAATTTTACACATTAGGTCCCAATGTGAATATTATTGCAATGGAAAGCTGTCCTGTAAGAAGGGAGAAGTTAGTTACATATTTTGATTGCAAGCCTTCAAAAACCGAAATTCATGTCTTCAATTGCACGAAGTATCAGGCAAATAAGTGGAAGGAAATTAATTGCTTTGTGTTTTAAGCGAGCTTTTGGGGATTCCCATACTTATTTTCTACGTATATTAGTGAGTGGTCTGCTAACATTCCTCTTTTCAAATATGCTGACGACGTGGTTTTATCTCAGACCATCTCCGATTTTTCTGGTCTTTCACAATTTTCTGATAACTTGGAAAACATTCAATGCTCCTGTCACATCTGGTCTCTTTTAATACCTCCAAATGTGCCGAATGTATCTTTACCTTATCACATTCTTCTTCCCCTTCTGAACCTGTACCCCGAGTCAGCTGTATTAAATAGCTGGGTATTCTCATCGATGCTACTCTTTACTGGACCTCTCAAAGTCAACATGTGGTCAGCAAACTTCGACGACCATCTTCTCATGTGCGTCAAATTCGTCAGTTTCGTATTTAACAATGGGTTATCTCTGAGTTCGTTTACCAGTATGTTTTACCCACTTTACTTTATTGTCAACCTGTTGTTTTTTCCAATCTCCTAAAGAAAGAATTTAAACTGGTTCGACGTGGACAGGTCATCATTGAGCCGCGTCTCTTCAATGCCGCTGGAGGAGTTGGTAAATAATCTGTGAGAACGTCATTTGAATGTATGTGAAAAGTTTTCACATTAGATTTTTATTGACCCACACAACTACTTCACACAGCTTTAACTTCCTGTCGTTACCATCCGCCAACTAGATCCCAATATCATTTTGTTTCTTCTCGAATAATCATATATCGTGATTCTACGGTACCCTTTTCTGTGCGTATTCCAGTTAACAAAGTACAGGTTTTCACAGATTTTGTTCAAAATTTTTAAATGTACTTTTTCTTGTTTTTGTTCCTCCTTCCGATTTATACACTTGTAAATGAAATGTAGGTTTTACGCCTACAGAAGTTATGAGTACCATTGGCTGCGAACAGATCCAAAGTGGACATGTGAAAGGCACACCAACAAACACAAGCATGTCGTATAAATTTTACGTAGGAGAAAATACCGTAGCAGTAAAAGGCCATGAAATCATGCACAAAATGTTAAAGATCATAGATAACTAATTAAGAACGAAATACATATCGCAGTTGACAAACTAAGGGGCATTGAGTGTATAACCGAGTCTCTAAATAGTCACATATACAACGGTCACTGAAAACAGGTTGAAGAAGTCGAATGGGTAAAACCGTGTACGCATGCAACCTACTTGGCTAAGTGGTGCATCAAAATGCTGAGCACTTCACGATTTCTCGAGGGCAAAAAGCCCAACAGGCGCCTCAGTTCTTCCAAGCGTTCCTCCGGTGACCGTTCTGAGGAAAATCCAAAAGACGGAATGGATAAAAACAACATCAGATAGTGGAAAACGCGAACGTGAAAATGACGCGCAACTTTGGAAACACGAACACCATTGAACGAAATACACAGGAAGGTTCTAAACCTATGAAAAGACTTACTGAAATATCAACTTCTATCCGTATTTAGTACTGAACTGTGTGACAATCAGTAAATTCCTGGAAATCCATCGAGTATATGGTACTCATAGTCATCCACATGAGTACAAAAGTTTACGATATCGGCAAATCTACATAATGCCAAAATACACATCCATTCAATATCATGCTGTAGCATTGAATGTCAGTAGACGTCACTACTGAAGCGAAAACCGATTTCCGGTATCAACCTGGATTAAGCAGGTCTGCTGATATTTCTCTAAATGCACCATTTTACTTCGGTGAATCAATGAAATGATTTACTTTTGAAGTACAAAGCGTCCAATGTTGACGGTAATGGGCGCCTTCGTTCTAAAATCGGGGGCTTTTAGGCAGGAACCTATCGTGAGGCGGATTCGCAGACAGTATAAGAAGACGGTTGACACACCAAACGCGCCCTGTGTTTATTCGCTGTCTCAGAACGAAGGGACCCGTGGAATGATGGGATCTGACGAACCTTTCACCGACGAGCAAGGAGTGATGCGATCTGGTCAGTCCTAAACTTTTACAGAGGGAATCAACATTCCTGAAGTTTCTGTGAAGCTCCTAAAAATGAAGATGCGAATGTCCAAGAAAAAGATAGACAGGCGAAGTATTAAGTGTAAGATTTCGAAGTAACTGTTGTTTCTGAAAGGTTTCATAGAGCTGTGACTACTATCGACATCTCGCACGCGCACGCAAGCCTTAGGCGCACATGGAAGTGCGAAACTGGTTCAACTTTCTACAACCATGGACTGATGGTTCCAATGGTATAACCAAATTTTATTGGTGAATTTGTTTTGTAAAAAATAGGACGAAAATCCAACACCTGAGGCTATAACACGGAGAGAACCACTGGCAGTTCACTTAGGGGAGTTGGATAAAATCCTTGATTCCATACCTTCCTAGTTCTGGGAGTGGTCATTGACTCGATTCAGCATCAAGGCACTTTGGACGTTTGACCGTGTGCAAAGGGTGTATGATCCGAAGAAAGGGATTCCGGCCGTAGACCGGCAAAGACTTTCACAAACCTCTCTCTTCAGGCTTTGGCTGGCCGGAGGCTCCGGTTTTGAATTCCCTAGGAAAATCCACCTGTTCTAACTTTGGCAATTTGGGAGTATTCTACTCACAAGGAAATAATGGACCGATTTCCTTGTGTGATTTGCCTGAACTCCGATGTGCAAACTTTAAAATACCAACCACGACCGGTTTATTCTTTCCGTTTAGTCAAATTAAAACCAGAACCAGTGACAAAGTGTGTCAAGATATAGACTCTGAAATATTTGCAAAATCAACTCAGTAGTCAAAGTTATGAAAACATTACAAGTCGCATTAGACAACAGGATTGCACGTGGATCGTGTTTATGATGGCCGCATGAAAGAAGTAACGTGCAACTTATATAGGATAACCGCATAATCCCTGCCAGACGACTGGACTTACTGACAGCAGCCATAACGTCGTCATGCAACTCGAACGTCATCAGGGGTTCGTCTAAATGTCGAACGAAATGCTTCACTGTACTAGTGAGTAGATGAATATCACAGTCAAGCAGATATTTGAGCGTTACTCCGCCGGGGGCTGAAACAACGCGAAAAGTGGGGCAGTTGAGGTGTTGAAGGTAAAGTAGTCATTAGAAAAGAAGTATTAGCAACAAGAGTCAGGAAAAGCGGATATTATTTGTGTGACCACAAGTGCCAGTCCTAGAAAAGATAAAGATGTACCTGAAGTTAAATGTTTTGCAAAGTACGAAATCTCCCTATTTATGAACAGCGAAAACTCGAAAAGAACAACAGACCGGCTGCGCAAACTACATGAGTTCTCCTGTTGCGTCCAGCAGAGGGAGAAAATTGTATTTACGATCTAATTGTGTCTGGCGACATTCTTTTGAAAATCGAAATGTCTGTCCTTTTTCTTGGCTGTTTTGGCGAATTAAGCACCTCGAAGTTCGACGCTGGAAACAATGAGCGGGGATTATTGTCCACGACTTGCAAAGTCAGAAACCGCAAAACACGAGAACCATAAAGTTAACCTTTACTTGAAAAGTGTAACAAGTTGAATAGAAACACTCTTTAGCTACATCGCAGCGCACAAAGGAAAGGTTAAACTCTTAGTCATGAGCAGTTAAAGATGGTAACAACCTGTCCATGTAAGACCAGAAACATAATACCACAAAGAGTGGATTGAATTTCCCCAAGTATGGCTTTCCACGCTATGCAGATAACTCGGCTAAACTGAGACGATAACAAAAACTGAACAAGCTTTAATACGGTGTGTATCTGAACTTACATAAGGCCTGACAAGTAAGTGCAGATATTTTCGATTTCACACCCGAAATTCGATAGATTCCAGATGTATCAAGGTCTGATAAACAAGACAGATGGACGGGGGGAGCAAGCAAACAATTATCAGGGAAAAGCCAGTGCCAAATATAGTGCGTCTGTGATCCACGAAGAGAATGTAATGCAAAACAATGAAGTTATCCGTCGCAGGCCAAACTCATAGGCACACGAGCCGCATGCTGGTCACCTAGAGGCAAACAGACCAGTTGTTCCATGGCTTCGGAGTTATTTTGTTTTAGACATGGTTACTATACCACTAAGATCAATCGAATAGATGAAAAACTTGTCGGTTCACACTAGCGAGATGAAGCTGCTTTTTGCTCTACTATAAAAGAAGCACAGCGAAACTTGGTAATATCGGATCTTTAGGATCCACTTCAAGAATCCGTACTGGGGCCTTGTTTCTTTCTTGCATTTATAAACGACCTGCCACATGTCCTTTGGTCTAATACACTGATATTTGCGGACGAAGCTAAGATTTGGAGAACTGTAACACATCCAGAGGATTACATAGCACTCCAACAAACGATCAATGCGGCCCACCGATGGTCAATCGCCAATGACATCGAGTCCAACGTTTCCAAATGCAGAGTTATTTCCATGCGGCACAAGACTCGTTTCTTCTATGTTCTGGGGAACCAAATACTACCGCATGCCACTGCTGAAAGGGATTTGGGAGTAATGGTACAGGAGGACGTATGACGTTCCACGCACTGTGCCAGAGTATCTTCCATGGATATAAAGCAAGTTGGACTACTCAGGTGTGTTTTCGGGCAGTTCGAAAGAGCACTGTTCCCACGCTTGCTATCAGCATTTGTTCGGCCACACACGGAGTACGCCGTTCAAATATGGAATCCATGGTTGAACCGCAAATAGAAGGCTCTAGAACGTCCGCAAAGGGTGTCAACAAAATTGATAAAGGTCAGTGTAACAAGACACTCCGAAAGACTGCAAATATTGGGACTCTACCGATTTCAATACCGCCGACTTCAGGGGGGGCCTAATCTTGGTATGTCACACACTGCATCAACCTAAGCACCTTCGGCGTTCTATGCTAACTTTATCTAAAAATGATCACCTCAGGGGACATCAAATAAAGTTGAAGACCCAGAACAGCCACCTTGATTGCCGGCAGCACTCGTTTGAAGTCAGAGTGTGCGGTGTTTGAAATTCTTTTCCATCCGATGTAGTGTGTGCTCCTACAGTTGAACTATTTAAATCGCAGTTTGATAAAGCATTGGAACACTTAACATGTCAACGTCCGTGAGTGATCATGCAAATTGCTATTATTAATATATGCTGCACTCTGTGATGTTATTCAAAATATTCTTTAAAAATCCTAAAGGACATGATAAGCTTTAGCTTTGTTAAATCGCACATTTTAAAACTTTGAATTTAACCCATCGTTTGCGCAAAATCATCAAAATCAACGGTGCAATTAGAGTAGAACAACAAACAAACGAAAACGCACGAATCGTCTTGGTTTTATTACATTCAAACGAAGAGCCGTTGACAGAGTTGAAGTGAAATATTTAAACCAATTTGTCGGAGTTTACCTTGCTTCTCGATTGCTTCCAGAAGACGACAAAAGAAAGCGATGCTTTGTGGACTGAGGAAAGCTGAAAAAAAAAGTGGCAACGAAACGCGAATTAAAGGCACCTAATCGAGTACGCATCCAAGGGCATACAAGACCATCTAATTTTTAGGTATCCAAACAGCGACCCAAATGACAGAGGAACCATCATGGGAGACTATTCCCAGGTGAACCTACAAAACTGGTAACGACTAGGAAACGATCAGGCTTTTAATCAAACAATGAATAAACAGAACTGAATAGTTCGGCAAGACGATAGCCCTCATGAGAAGAAATGAAAAGATCCTAGCTTTTCAGTTCACGCTTCATTTGCTCTGCATATGATGAAATTCACTATAAGAAACACTGATTGACAAGAAGCAAACATTAATTCAGATAATATTTCCAAAAGTGTGTGGTGGTGGTTGTGTAAACAAACGCCTTATGCGCAGACCACAACTTCTTGAAACCACTCGTGCAATCTACCATCCATTTTGTCCAATATATTATTAGTTTAACCGGAACGAGGAAAATATACCAGTTTCCAACAATCCTTGGAGGATCATAGCGCTGATTTCGTTTAGACGAAAAATCAGTAAGAGTCCATGATCAAAGCTACACTCACTTCGATCTGCATCGGTCACAGAAACCAGTCGATCCGCGTATTGCTAAGAAAACAAAAACAACAGATTACTCAGAAGCATACACAACCGATTACATTTGATTTATTAGTTGGGAGATTATAGATTTCACGTTAATTACACAGTACATTTTCGCATGACCGCCGAGATTGGCGATCTGTTTACGAATACGAAGTAATTCTTGGAAAAGCTCGAAATTATCAACATCCAAGAAGATGAAACAATGATTTCTTTCGAATAAACAGTTTTATTCATTTAATAGACTTGGATCTGACAAGAAACTCATAGAGGGAGTTGGTAGTCAGCACCCATCAAACCAGTCAATGAAAACTATTGACCATTTGTGAACCCGTGGAACTATTTTTGCAAACGTACTACAAACTCGAGGGCGAGACCGACAAAAAATTAAGAGGGAACACTAATGTCATGAATTCATAAATTATCTGGAGATAAAATTGTCAGGGCGTCAGCATGCTCCTTGAAAACTGCTTTGTTCTTGGACAATCAATCAGAACTCAGGCGATTGGTTGGAACCGCCAATCAATCAAGACGGTTGACAGCAATCCAGTCAACCAATCATTTGAAATATACATCCTCTATCTTCCCTATAAATAACGATGATTTCTGCATATTAAATTAATTCGTACACCCTGCCAGCTATGTTCTATTTCACTTACTATGGAGTTCCTATCTGAACGAGAAATATTATCGGAAGAGAATTGTTGGAGAATCCAGTATCGGGATGAATTTGTGCCGTTACAACCAAAAAGTAAGGCCCAGGATTAAGCCGAAACCTCGAATCCGATACGTTGGTGACCCACGAATCATCTTGAATATGTTGGAGCTAGAAAGAGCACATAGCATTATCAAGAAAACGTTCAGGGACATAAAATTCACAATGGAGAAGGGGAACCAGCTGGCACTTTGAGCATCCTGATCAGCGAAACAGCATCAAGAACTCTGGAGACAACGGTCTATTTCAAAGCAACGGATGCGGATCAAGTCATAAACTTCAACAATGATCCACACAGTCACGAAAGAGGCTATATCAAAATCACCGCAGCATCGGGGTGATCATTAGCAAGAGCCATGCCCGTAACTTCCTTAAATAAGCTCTCAGCCCAAGAAGGAAACAAGCAATACGACAGAGACTTTATCGAGGCTTGATACTCTTCGATCAACTTAATCATTGGTCTCATGGAACCAAACCACGTATACAAGCCAATGAAACTCAAGGACCAAATGACGTAACAAAAAACAAGTCCGCAATTCAAACAGAAGAACAACACAAACACCCTTGCCCTTCGTGCTTGTTTAACGGCTAACTAGGTTGAAAACAAAGGACATAAAGTCAATGAAAAAGAGAATATATAAGTGGGCTGTCGGAAGCAGAGCATTGGCACGTAACATGTCACAACGGCTGGTGAAAAGACGTTCGCAAACAAATTGATAAGCTCAGCGCATAGACGAAAATGAATTCAGTTCCCCTGAGCTATGAGAGCCGATTTGGCGTACTTTGCAAGTAATTCAGTGCCCCTTGCATAATCGGTTGCAGACATCTCATCGCGATTCTTCAGTCTGTTCTCATGGTCATGAAAACTGCACTGTCAAGTCCCAGTTGGTCCTAAAATAACACTAGGATTCAAACCAGGATGACCTGGCTAAATTGAGATTGATATCACGAGTATAAGAATTAATTGAAATAGGAGTACCGGATATGCATATCTGATGCTTTATAAACAAACTAATCGGACGGAGCCCAGTCAGTTCAGACACTGTTGAGGTACCTTGCGTAACACAATCATATTATGTCAACCTAGTTTCTGGGGTACACCAAGGGATGTAAATTAAAGGAGTGTAATTCGAATAGTTTCAGAATAAAATTTCCCACAATATTGCCCAAAACAGAAACAAAAACACGATAAATCGGTAGATGAATGAATAGCGAATGGTTTCCGTCGTGCAACGGATTCATAATTATCCCTCATGCCAGACAGCAGAGCAAGATTTAACTGGGGTCGTGTCTGATATACAGGCGAACGACATAGATCAATGCGTAAGACGGGAAAATGACCGTCTGATTTCCACAAGAATAAGGAAAGTGCACAATTATTCACACCGCAAGCACACATCTGTTCACTGCTAGTCCCGAACGGGATAGACACGCGTGTCAAATGCACATTGCTGAAATGACAATCGTGTTCCAGTATGCACTTCGGTCATATTTTTCTCAAGAAAGCTCCGATAAGAATTACTGAAGCATGGTGATCGGGATGTTTTATAGAGTGCAAACTAGTTAACATGTATTCCTGCACACGAGAAAAAAACACTGGCGGTCAAATTTTCTTCAACGTGCTTGGTTACAGGGGATGTGTGGTGGTGCATCTCGGTACGATTAATGTGAATNTGTGAATGAACAGTGCATTTCGATTGGTGTTTTGCGTTCCAATCAGAATGATAAACGAACGATATCCAGTGCAAAAAGAAGCGGTCAATTTGCTTATCCAAAGGCAATTGGATAATGAGAGTCGACTAAAAACCGTTAGCATATTGCAAATTACACGTTATTATTTTACCCTGAGGGGAGGTTAGACCAGTAAGACTCTGCACCGAAGCACTATATCATAACAATCCGTTCGCTCCGAAGCCCATCGCTTGTGCCAACTGACAACTACATGTTATTTACTGTATGCAACAAAACGATAAAACACAATATTTTTGCATACCAAATGAGAAGAAAGCAGAGAGGAAGAATCAAACAGTTCATTCACAACGCAATCGCTTTCGTTTGTAAAAGGAAGTGAGGTAACCAAATCCCGCAAATCTTAAAGAGTTCCGGGTGGGTACCGAAGTTTGTCGATGAATCTCTAGGGCTAGCAGTACTAGACAAGGAGCGCACAATGATGATACTGTATCAGCAAAAGTACCGAAATAGCCACAAGAGTGTGGTAACAACATTTTCTAAGAACTCTAAAGGTTACGTCCAGAACAGTGAGGGACTGCTACAACAAATACCTGATTTAGAGCCGCCCCAGTTTGTACGCATTCAGTGGTTGTCAGCATGAAAGATAGATTTGTGTCGTTCTTTGTGACCTAAGGAACAGTGACTGAAGTTTCTACATGATCACTGCTGCACCGTGTATGGGCATGATTTATAGACTAAACACCCGAATACCACAACGATTTTCGTATCTGCAAATTTAATCCATTCATTGTCATGGTAAGTTTATCTGATTTCGTTCCACTAATACGGGAGAGGTAAATTTTTAAAAGAACGAAGAAAAAACCCGAAAAATTCAAATTCATACTTTCCTTGCAGGAGAAAATCACTCCTATGAGGAACCAGAGTAAGCTATTTTTTGTCTTGGGAATGTGTATCATTGGACAACGGTGACCACTCACCGGTTCTTGTCCGTCCATAATGCGGAGCCACTGAGCCAAATCGTCCTGAGATTGCGCTTGCAATGTGAGCGGGGTGGCTCTGATGAAACAGAAATACCAGAACGCAAAACACGTTGTTTACATTTCAATCTGATGAATCAATGTTTCTAAATGTGGTTGTAAAGAACAAATGAAAAAGCGCAAACGAAGTGGATTGAAAGTGTCTTGCCTGTAATTTACTTATGCACGACATTTGTGTCATCAGCAGTGAATTGAAAAAAAATCATTTATTCTGTACTGCTACTCGGAAGCTGCCAAGTGAAAACCAAATCCAGCTGCTCTCGAACAGTGTTCGAAGAGATTACCTACGACTTCGAAAATAAGGAAGCATATTACATCCAACTGCCGTTTGTGAGCAGCTTTCATTTCTCAGAGAGAGTGTGCAAGCCATAAGAACACAAAGGCATCTGTTTGGAAACTTGATTTCTAGTGTGTTTGAGGAGGGGGGGGGGGATGACCAAGCTACTCACCTGTTCTCTACTTCGACATCGAAGCAGAAGCGTCGATCAATGCTGTCAGACGATCGTCGAACGCATGATTTGACTGAGTACTGTTCCGTAACCTATTATTACATCCAAGAAAAAGACCATAAAACGTAAGTTAGAATGTGAATTAGTCCAACGAGGTAATAAAAGAAACATTTTTGGAGCTAGCCGTGAAGTGTAGTCGCAATAAGTCCCCACTTTCAACTTCCGCTTTGCGCATCCATTACACAGTCATAATATATGAAAACGAAGGAAGTTAAATTAGGAACCGATTGAACTATATCGTGACTTTCTCCAATTTTTTTTATCACAATGCCTAAGGTTTTGAGTCTCACTCATGTGGTTGTACCCCACCTAACTCCAATTTCTGCAATAGTAGTGAAATATAAACCTGCTTCTTTTGATTAAATGCCTAACGAACGTATGATTTCTCGATTTTTACGACAGTTGATAGTGTATCGAGTGTAGGACAACCGAACTNCCGAACTTCAGAGGAGAAAAAATTGAGAACTTATTTACAAGAGCAGTCTGCAGTAAAATAATTTTTCAATTTATTTGAGATAAAAAGCCATCATCCTTTGGTATATATATATATATATGTACATATATCTAATCAATCTCCTGCCATGTCGCACCCCTGAGAAGTCGCATTTTCCAACATCTTCCCACTTTTTCGAAAACCCAAACCAACCGTATGCTTAATAACGTAGTTTCTGACTACGCGATGTCTCATACCTCAATACGTCGCAGTTCCTGATACATACTCACTTGGTCATTGACCGATGTTCGGGACGACCAGTGACCATCCACCCTGAAAGGTCTCACTCAACCAATGGCGTCGCACCTAGTATACCACGTTCCTGGCACTGGTCACTGATTGGATAATCCTTGAGAGGAAGTCACACCGATGCAAGTGATCGGAGACGGTGTCATTTGACGTCAAAATGTGCAAGCGCCTATCGATCAGAGAGAAGCAGAATGTATTCGAAATGCTGAAACAGCCAGGTGCAACTCGAGCTCCGTAGCCAAGTCATTTGGAATTTCACGAAAAACTGCAATGTTGTATCCCATCGAACGACTACCCGGGAATTTTTGAACGCTGATGCACCTGAGGAAAGATGCCACCCGAAAACCAACGAAAAGTTCAAGGCAGTGAATGAGGCAACTTAGACTTGGTTCACCGCTATGAGGGAAAATAACGGAGAGTTCCCAATGGTGGAGAGCATCGTACGTAATAAGGCAACCCAGCTAGCACAAAGATCGCATCATAATGACTTCAAGGCTTCCAAAGGTTGGTTTCACTCTTGGTCAGATAGATATGGTATTCAGTCGTACAAAGTAAGAAACAAGCAACTCATGTGCATTACTTTATAGACCTGTGGGGAAAGCTTAGTGGTAACACGTGATGCAGTGGATGAGTTTTGAGCGGAGTTACCGCAGGTGATATAAGGATATGCTGACTGTGATATTTTCAATGTAGATGAAATAGCTTTGTATTACACCTCCCAGAAAGAACATTGAGTCTGAAAGGAAAGACAGTTTCTGGGTCCAAGAAATCCAAAGAGAGGGTCACGATACTGCGTTGTGGGAGCATGACTGGCGAAAAGTTATCACCCTTGGTGATCGGATAGTTTCAAACTCCACGATGCCTCCGAGGTGTACATAGAAAAAGCCTTCCATGCAGTTATAATTCTTCAAAGAACGCATGGATGACTTCTACGTTATTTCACAGTTGGCTGTTCGATGTCAACCGAAAAATGGTTTCTGAAACA